GAATAAAGTGATAAAATATGTTTTTGTGCCATCGTACGTCGCACGTGTTAAGTTGTCACTGAAAGTTTCGATTGTAATTAAAATTTGTTATCCATTGCGATAACTAATTATTACCTGTTTCCTTATCTTCAGTCGATACAAAATTTTAATATTTATAAAAATTTATGTGAAAATAATTTATCATATTTTAAATAAAATGCATTAAATTTATAAATTATAATTTATTTTTATTAATTTGATAATGGATTTTAAAAGCAAAAATTTCGCTTATTTTAATTTTTGTTCGTTTCAAAGATATATTATTGTTTTCAACAAAATACGATTAATTGTTTCTTCTCATTTTATTAATTATTAATTTAAATTATTAATTCTTTATTTATTTTATTGATTTTTTCCGATTTGGTGTAAAAACGACATCATCGATTTAGCAATTTTGAAACTGACGTTAAATAGTTACATTAGAAAGATTTGCATAATATTAAATTTAAATAATATTTAAATTTATAATTAATAATCTAAAATATAAAAGAATTTTAAAATCAAAACTCTAAGTTAATTAAAGCTCTTAAATGGTCTTAAATTATTAATTAAATCATAATTTGTATAATTTTATATATTTTCTTTTTATATATTTTATATATTTTCTTTTTATAATAGCTTGTATAAATTTTAGCTTGTATAATAGCACGTACAACACGGAAAAAAGATAATATCAAGAGTCACTTGTTACTTAACTTGTATTTAACTGTACACTTGTACCGTCCAACGCATTTAGACAAGATATCTCACGACGTTTAACCAGCCATACAATTTGGACATTATTATTATATAAACTCGTATCCTGGTTACAAACGAGTGATTTAGAAACTTTGAGGTCATCAAGCATTTGTCGTGATGAAGAATAATTGAGCTGCTAGTATAAAGATATATATCATATTCGGCAATTCTCATTAATTGGTGGTTTCTACTATTGCTGGGCTCATTCCTACACTTCGTACAGCTTGTTACTAAAATGTTCGAATAAGCTTTAGACATCGACGACTCTTGCCTTATGAGGCAATAGCCACTGCTGCAAAATACAATTTAGGAAAGAATATGGAAACACATGACATTTTTTAAAAAAGTACTATAAAAGTGTTAACAATTCGTATTATTGTAAGAAAATCAAATCTTAAGACGCTGTAAGAACACTGACCGCATCATTTCTTCGATTAGCGTGCGGTGGTCAACAAATTTGTGACAATTAAGCCACTTAATGCAAATGGCACACGTGGAAATATCCATGTCTTAATATATATGTCGACGCGCTTGATATTATGGCGAATATTTTTAAAATACTAAGTTAATTGAGGTTAACAGAGAAACAACTATGCTGCGGTAGCTTTTGTACGTTTAATAATTCAATGTGCATAATATTATGATTGCCATTCAAAATTAAGTAGTGTATTTTCCCAGTAGATATAAAAAAAATTAATTAATTAAACGATACCTTATAATTTGAACAATTCTTATAATTTCATAAAAGATATATCTTTTTATTAAGAAATTTGCAGTAATGATTCATATTAAAGATTAATATCAATAATCTTATACAAAAGAGTTAAAATCAATACTCTTATACAAAAGAGTATGAAAAAGTTATTAAATTTCCAATATTATTATTAAATTTCCATTATCTTTAATGTATTCTGAGAAAATACATTATCAATTTTATTATATCAATTTATTATTATTTATATCATTATTATTTATATCAATTTTAATTATTACAACTTACAAATAAGAATAATTAAGTCACAAAATAAGTTCTTCATATAATTATGCCTCAAATAACTCCTTAAACCCTTTAAAAAAAAATCGCCTTATACTATAATATAATTTTGATTATAAATCTTATATAAAAAAATCTCGCTTAAATTTAAAATTATTCTTAGAATATTCTAAGTTCTAGAGTTTTCTTTATAATTGCAATTAAATTTTACAAAAACAAACAACGAAAAAAAAAGTATGCTAATTCAGTAATATTCATACGCAGAGTCAATTTTGATGTTTTGGAAAAGTTATATACTAAGTAATACGAACAAAAAAAATATAATGTAATTTGAAATTTTTATTATTTACATAATTAATAGCTGAATAATAACTGAAAATAGAATATTAAAAATATACGAATATATATGTTATTAAACGTACACTTTGATTCTAAAATATTCTTATCAAATATTTGTGCGCTTTTATTTGTAATATAATATTCATATATCCGCACATAATCCTTTTATCGGAAAAATTCAATGTAAATTTTTGGATGTCTTTCATTTTAAAAAAAAAATGGTTTTTTCATAAATGAATATTAAAATAAGAGGATTATCATTCAAAATTAATTAAGAGTAATTAAATGTATCTCCTAAAAAGATTAGTAAAGTCTAAAATTATTGTTTCACTAGAAATAACTTTTACAATACACATATTAATTTTATCACAGTTCATCTTACATTTTTTATTTGTGTGGATATTTTGTTTTATATTTAAAATAGATATTTATGCACGCACGCACGCACGCACGCACGCACGCACACACACACACACAGAGATCGAAGGGAAAACAGAAAAACCTACACATAATATTAAAAATGCAACTGCAAATGCAAAAGAAAGCCGTAATTAATATTTCAGGATTAACTCTATGAGCAATCGTCTCTTCCTAGAAGACAGCGTCGTCGTACTTCTATCACTTCACGTGTAAAATTGCAGGTTGCAAACCCGATGAGTTTTTCTGCAGTTCTATATAACGGCGTCGCGTCCCGACGTGACGTTTGGCGCCGGCATCCCTTCTCTTCGGTGGAGAACAAGCAACTTGAAAGACTTTTCTTGACTTGCATCTCCGAGTATACGATAGTCGTTACGCTCGAGTCGTCCGTTTCGCACGATTTGCAGGCGAGAACGCATTTTCTAGTGAGTAACGCTTACGTTAGCGTGACATTACGCGAGTGCGCAAATTCCAGCTTTCAATTCCATAAGTCAGTCCGATTTTCGAGTTTCTAGTAAATGTAATGTAAATTCTAATGATGGATTCTTATTAATCACAATATCTCAATAAATATCTTTATTGAATAAGAATTACATATGCTACATTCAATCAGTAATGTATGACTTAGAATGTACGACAAGTTGATATATTTGTGTGAACTTGCTTTTAATCTCATGGATAATTTAAAATACAAATTTATGGATAATTTAAAAACTATCTTTTGAACCAGACATTAAAACCACTAGTTACTAATTATATTTTTCACATTGAATAACATAAGAGAAAAATAGCAATTAATTTTGCATTATATAATTTATCACCATAATCTTCACGTTTCTATAATCAGCGCTTTGTATTTGTATGGAAAATTCTTCGACATATCTAAAATCTATACCTTTATAAAAATATCCAGAGATCATGTATGTATGTACGTATGTATGTATGTATGTACATTTTTTTAAGCTGTTTTATGATATGTAATCAATACGTAATCGCGAATTAAAATTTCTGTTAGTCCATTTGAAATTAACTGACAAATATAGATTTAGTAATTATTTGCGCATCTTTAAAGCTTAATTTGTAATAAACTCCATTTTTAAATTATTTAAGTTTCTATGACATATCGTGGAAGAATGCATAGGTACATATTCTGGAAATTACAGTCGTGTTTCTTGTTATCTTGTTATCATGTTATGTATATTTTTAAAAATGTACACTATACGGAATAACAATCTGCAAAAATTTGCTTAAAAAAGCACATTTTTGTGACTACGTATCATCTGCGATTTCCACACGCGAATCTTAATTAGGCCGCAGCAGGTATGATAACAGTAATAAGGCGGTAATAACAGCGAAGAAAAGTTGTAAGAGAGAAGCCGTTTGCACGCCGTCATTTTCTGTGCCCTTCATAACGGCGTTTGCTCTTTCCTTTCCATTTCTTTTTTTCTTTTTCTCTGTATCGGTTCAACGTCCTATCATTCTACACAAACATTATCACTCGCGGCCTCAAGGCCTATTTTTGTGAGCAATATTCGTGAGCCTATCTTTGTAAATGCGTTTTTAATTATCGCGCGCGATAAACAAATTTGCCATAATATAACTTACTTACAAAATTACGGATACAATATTACGATCTAGTATATTATTAAAAATCAAAATCTTAGAACACATACATAAATAGGTGTACCATTCAGTTTTCAGTTATTATGAAACACGGAATTAATTTAACACATGGATCTCATTGGGATAATATTTGAATGTTTGAGTGTTTTCCTTTAAAGGAAAAATTGGAAATAACGACTCTGTATCTAAATAAATATTTAAGCGTATATGCATACTAGAGCTCTTATCAGCTTTATGTTAAGACATAATTATATCTTCGATTTATATCTTTAGAGCCTTAACCCGCGTTTCGATTATCCGCATTGTATTTTATATTAACAAAGTTGAAGATGATTGTAGCAGTATTGACAATTATGTGAACAAAGCAGTTTACCAAAGAGGTTTTACTAAACAATAAAATTGTATTTAATATCGTTTGAGTAAATGTAATCAATATGCTAAAAATTTGCTTTCTAATTGTGCAAACTGTGTGCTTGTTGATTTCTCTATTCGCTCCGCTGATATATACTTATGTCATCACTTATCTGACACTTGAGGGAAACTGGAAATTATCTTCGCGATTCTAATGAGATAAAAAGCAATGGCAACGAGGCTAATAATTATTCATCATCGTTATATACATATGCATGAATTAAGATTCCTGTTATCAATTTTTGCGACTTTTATTAGAAAAAGCTTCGGAATGCGAGTTTTATTGGAAAAGATATAGACACGTAGAGACACGTAGGTGTAGAGATGATCGATAATAAATAATAATTATTAATTAACGAATTATAAGCATTCACTTATATCTTAAAACTTGACACTGACTTCTACTTGGTCTTTTTACAAATCTTTGATCAAAACCGCAATTGCAACTTTACACGATTAAATGTATTGATAATCAATTAAATATTATAATTATAATCATATATTTATAAGCAAAATGCAGAAGATGAGAAGATTTTACCGTTAAATCAATTTCTTAAAATAATTAATGTTCTTTCTTTTATTATTGACTATATTGTTTGTCGACTATATTATCCTTATTGCTCTTGTTATAGCTACATATATATTTCGGATCGAAGCATGTCCGTTATTGCGAAAAGTAATTTCTTGTTGAGTTATAACTAAGAGAGACTCAAGAGGTGGACAGGTAAGTAAAAGAAAGGAAAAAAAAAATGTTAGAAATAGGAAAATATGATCATTCTACGCGCGCGATCACTTACATATGAAAACTGACATATGTTTCTTGTTTATTCAAAAGCTTATCAAATAAATAGTTTAATAATGATTGATGTTTTCTCGAGATTTCTCATTTTACATCTTATACATATACATCTACATATACATCTTTTTTTTATCCCATGTTACAGATATTCGAATACCAGAACAGTCTAGCGGAACGTCGTAGCGGATATTGATATGAAGGAAAAAATCGACAGCATCGAATATGGTACGTTTCTTAATAATAAATTATATTAAAGATCATTGATCATAAAATTCGATTTGATAGAAGTAAGTATCAAATACGCTTGCATATTATATTAAACCGAATTTGAAGAGTTTAAGAAAATGAACACAGAGAACAGAATTATATTCTTTAATAAACTAATTTTATATGAATTTTAAGAAAAACCTAAGTTAAATTTTAATTTAAAAAGTTCTCGTTTACAATTTTTCATTTTTAAGTTTTCATATTTTTTTTAATAACATTTTAAAAATAATAAGTTCTATTATTATAAATCAAGATACATTTTAAAAAATCTGTCTTAATCTTTTAACAAAATATCTTTCAGTTTTACATTAAAAAAAAGTATATATTTAAAATAATATAATGTTTAAAAGATTAAAATATGTTAAAGATTGGTTTTAAGCTTAATTTTGGTTAAGGTTGTAGCAATTTTAATATTATAAGTACAGTAAAACATAAAAAACTGGCTTAAATGATAAATTTTCTATTTTTGCGAAACGAAAATCAATTGCAAAGTTAAAAATTTATTCTTAAAATTCGAGGCATTTATTTCGACACATACTTACATAACAACGTTAAGATAAATCTATATCGCATGACGGAGACATGGCAGATTGAAAGGCAAGACTGACCTTTCGAGTCGCCGAAGAAGGATGTCGATGTAAGTTGGAGCACCCGAGATCGAAGGTTGTCTTCTTGATGTCTCGAGGTTAGCATGCATTTTATGGTTTACATGCACTGTCTTAGAGTTTTTCCTTCTGCGAACTGGTTTCGTCGTCATTTGCTACAGTATAACATATAATATTGTATATATTTATTACAACGCATATCGGTACAACACCGTTATTATCATAAGTGTAATAAAATGCTTGTCAACAATATTTATAGTGATTGTTTATATAAAATTCACGTCT